CACGTTGTATTCTCCCTCTCTCTCTCTCCCTGTGTGTGTGTGTCTGTGTGTGTGTGTGTGTGTGTGTGTGTGTGTGTCTATGTCCAAATTTCCCTCTTCTTTTAAGGACACCAGTCATTAGATTGGGACCCATGCCAATAGAATATGACTTCACCTTAACTTGAGTACATCTGCAAAGACCCTAATTTCCAAAATAGATCACATTCACAGGGTGGACATCAAGTCTGGGGGGATACTATTCAACCCAGTACTCCATCCAACATGTTCTACCTATTCTATTTCTTTATTGTCTCTCTCCCCCAATAGAATGTCAGCTCTATGAGGTTAGGAACTGTTGTCTGTTTTGTTTGTTGGTATATCCTCAGTGTCTAGAATACTACTTGACACATAGTAAACACTCAATAAATATTTTGTGACTGAAACTTTATACCCATCTGCCTCCTACCTCGCAGAGAATCTGAATGAGAGAAGCAGGGACAGGGATGGGAATGCAGGTTTGCCTAGAACATAATAAATGCTCTGTAAATGTTTGCTGGATGAATAGAAGTATTTGATGGATATATTAATTTAACACTTATGGAGCACCTATTTTGTACAGAGTATAAGGAAAGATACAGAGAAATGAGGAGGAAACATCTGAGCATCCTGGCTATGCCTCTGTGTGACCCTGGGCAAGTCATTCAACCTCTGGGTTTCACTTTCCTCATCCGTAAGGTGGAGGTAATAACATTATCTACCTCATAGGATTGTCATGCAAATTGAGTTCGTGCATGTAAAGTACTTAGCACAGTGCCTGACACATGGTAAGCACCATAGATGTGTTATTATTACTGTAGTTGCTGTTACATGCTAGACTCTGTGCAAAGTGTTTTTAAAAAGCAGCTTTATCGAGATACAATTCACATACCATAAAATTCTCCCTTTTAAAATGTACAATTCAGTGGTTTTTAATTAACAGAGTTGTGCAACCATCACCACCATCTAATTTTAGAAAATTTTCATTCTCCCTCCCCAAAACCCCATAGCAGTCACTCTTCTTTCCCCAACCCATGCCCTCGCCCCTGACAACCACTACGCTACTTTTTGTCTCTATGGATTTGCCTATTCTGGAATTTTATATAAATGGAATCATGCAATATGTGGACTTTTGTGTCTCCTTTAGCATAATTTAGCATAATGTTTTCAAGGTTCATCCATGTTTTAGCATGTATCAGTACTTCACTCCTTTCTTAAGAATTGAGGTATAGTCAATTTACAATATTATATAAGTTTCAGGTGTACAATACAGTGATTCACAATTTTTTTTTTTTTTTTTTGGCGGTACGTGGGCCTTTCACTGTTGTGGCCTCTCCCGTTGTGGAGCACAGGCTCCAGACACACAGGCTCAGCGGCCATGGCTCACGGACCCAGCCGCTCCGCGGCATGTGGGATCTTCCCAGACCTGGGCACAAACCCGTGTCCCCTGCATCGGCAGGCGGACTCTCAACCACTGTGCCACCAGGGAAGCCCGATTCACAATTTTTAAAGGTTATATTCCATTTATAGTTACTATAAAAATTGGCTATATTCCCTGTGCTGTACAATATATCCTGTAGCTTATTTATTTTATAGATAGTAGTTTGTACCTCTTAATCCTCTACCCCTCTCTTGCCCCTCCCTGCTTCCCTCTCCTCACTGGTAACCACTAATTTGTTCTCTATAACCGTAAGTCTGTTTCTGTTTTGTTGTATTCATTGCTTTGTTTTATTTTTTAGATTCCACATATAAATGATATCATCAGTATTTGTCTTTCACTGTCTGACTTATTTCACTAAGCATGATACCCTCCAAGTCCATCCATATTGTTGCAAATGGCAAAATTTCACTCTTTTTTATGGCTGAGTAGTATTCCATCTTGTACATATACCACATCTTCTTTATCCATTCATCTGTTGAAGGACACTTAGGTTGCTTCCATATCTTAGCTATTGTAAGTAATACTGCTTCAAACATTGGGGTGCATATATCTTTTCGAAGTAATGCTTTCCATTTCTTTGGATATATACCCAGGAGTTGAATTGCTGGATCATATGGCAGTTCTATTTTTAGTTTTTTGAGGAACCTTCATAATGTTTTCCACAGTGGCTGCACAAATTTACATTCCCACCAACATTATACTAGGGTTCCCTTTTCTTCACATCCTCATCAACACTTGTTATTTGTGGTCTTTTTGATGATAGCCATTATGACAGGTGTGAGGTGACATCTCATTGTGGTTTTGATTTGCATTTCTCTGATGATTAGGGACGTTGAGCATCTTTTCATGTGCCTGTTGGCCATCTGTACATCTTCTTTGGGAAAATGTCTATTCAGGTCTTCTGCCCATTTAAAAAATTATTTTGCTTTTTTGACATTGAGTTGGATGGGCTGTTTATATGTTTTGGAACTTCATTCCTTTTTATGGCTGAACAATATTCCACTGTGTAGATATACCACATTTTGTTTACCCATTCATCAACAGATGAACATTTAATTGTTTCCACTTTTTGGCTATTATGAATAATGCTGCTATGAACATTCATGTATAAGTTTTCGTGTAAACACTTTTCATTTCCCTTGGGTATATTCCTAGGAGTGGATTCCTGGGTCATATGGTAACCCTATGTTTAACATTTTGAGAAACTTCCAAACTGTTTTCCAAAGCAACTGAACCATTTTACATTCCCACCAGCAATTGCTCCACAGGTTCACCAATACTTCTCCTTGTCTGTCCTTTTTGTTTTAGCTATCATAGTGGGTGTGAAGTGGCATCTGTATGTGTGTGTTTTAAGAAACTGATGTTTATTTTTCAACAACTTTATTTCCATTTTCTGTTTAAGAGCCTATGGAAGAACAGCTTCAAACTACCCAGTGGTCATTCCTACCCATTCAGTGGCCTGAGCATTGGGAGCAGTCTTCAATGGTGGGCTGAGTGCTCCAATCTTCAGCAGAGAACGGCTGGATAGTCACAGAGGGCACCAACATACTATCAGACCAGCCTGTGACCTCAGGTTGAGTAGCAGTAAACTCAGGAGCTGGAGCAGTCCATTCACTCTGAAATTCTTCCACGGTCACACCTTTCCAGCAGTGGCCTGTTTATCCTTTTCGATATCTTTAGGGTCTCTGTAGAAGGAGAGATCAGGCATGACCTCCAGTGGATGCTCATGGGAGATGGTGTCACATATGCATGGTACTTCCCAGGCCAGCATCCACATCAGACCCACTGAGTGGGCTCCTTTGTTGTTGCATGGGGTAGCAGCGTCCACGTGGCACAGAGGAGAATCTGTGTCACACAGAGCAATGGTGGGCAGGTTAACATAAGACACCTCTGTGAGAGGCTGGTGGTCAGCGGTGGGATCGGTGACCACTGGAAGTTGTGGCTCACGGAAGGCTGCCTGGATCTTGTTAACGAAGATTCCAGGAGCGAAGCGGCCAGCAATAGGAGTGGCCCTGGTGGCAGCAGCGAACTTCAGCACAGCTTGCTGGCCAGTATTCCTGGAAGATATGACACTGACATCAGCTGGGTTTTCAGTGGCACGAGTCACCAGCAGAAGCTTCTCTTTAGATTTGTGATGTAGATACCATCACTGCCTTTTGTAGACATACTGTTCCATTTGAAGTCAAGGTTGGTGCCACCTAAGTGGGTTCCTGCTGCAAGGAATTTAAGGACATCCTCCTTCATCTCAGGATATCAAGGGCTCTGGACATTGTGAAAGATTCCCTTTAAGTTACGATGGAAAGCTCATTGTGGTTTTGATCTGCATTCCCCTGATGGCTAATGATGTTGAGCATCTTTTCATGTGGTTAATGGTCATTTGTATATCTTTGGAGAAATATCTATTCAAGTCCTTCGGCCATTAAAAAATGGGTTGTTTTTTTGATGTTGAGCTTTTAGAGTTCTTTACATATTCAGATATATCATTTGCAAATATTTTCTTCCATTTTCTGTGTTATCTTTTCTGTGACAAATGTTTTTGCATGCTGTTTCCCAAGACCACTCCTGTGAGGTAGGTGTTATTGATAGGGAAATGGAAGTTCAGAGAGAAGATGAAATTTAAATCTAGTTCTGTCTGACTGTAAAACTCAAGCTTTCTCTTCTACCCCAACCTGCTCACAAAGATGAATGAAGACATGTTTCTGGCTTTAAGGAGCTTGGTCTGGCAGAGGACATGACACAAGAACAAAAACGAATGCGCTATAAAGCAGAGTTCCACTTGTCCCACAAGTGCCACAAAAGACGTGTGGAGGAAGCGAGCGATTCTGGCTGGGGAGACCAGGGCTGGCTTCAGTAAGGTGGCATATAAGTCTTGAAAGATGGGTACAGTTTCATTGGATGGAGGTGATGGAGTAAATGGAGGTGAGCATTTCCAAAGGAGAGCAGAAAATGGGGGTTGAATGAATGAATGGGGCTTTGATCCTAAGACTGGCTGTGATGGGGTGTCCCAGGGCTTGTTGGGGTGGGAGATCCTGGGACTGCCCATGCTGTGGACTAGACAGAGGTCACCTGAGGTAGGAGGTCCAGGGGTTGGATGGGATGGGGAATCTGACACTTGGGATTGGCAGACCCAGGGGATGGGGAGTCTGTGTGATGCCTAGACCTGGGAGCTGCCTGGGATGGAGTTTTCTGGGAGGTCTTAGACGAGGATCTTGGGCCTGGTGGACCCAAGGGACATTGGAACGGACTGGGATGGAGGGCTTCTTTAGGCTGCATTAAGGGAAGACTCTGGGACCGGTGGAATGTGAGGGGGCTGGCCCGGGTGCCTTGGGGCGGGTCCGGCTTCGGGTGCGGGCGGCGGTGGCAGGTGGGACGCTCGGGGGCGGGCCGGGCGCGCGGGGTGGGGGCAGGGGCGGGGGGCGGGCCGGCGGTCGGGGCGGTCCCGCGCGGCCGCGCTGCGCAGTGACTCCGCAGCGGGCGGAGCGCCGTGGGCCGCGTCCTCGAGAGCCGTGGCGGTTGGCGGCGGCGGCGGCAGCGGCAGCGGCAGCCTCAGCTCCTGCTCCCCGTGCCGCCTGCCCCAGCGCTGTCTCCCGGGCCCCCCCGGGCCCCCGGGCCCTCGAGCCCGGTGCGCGCCCTCGCGTCCCGCCGGCCCCCTCCCCCGGCTGGGCCCGGGGGAGGGTGGCGCCGTGAGCGAGCGGGGACCGGGCTCTCTTGCCCCTTCCCCTGCCCCTGGGCCGCCAGGATGGAGGCGGGGTCGGGTCCCCCGGGCGGCCCGGGATCCGAGAGCCCCAACCGGGCGGTGGAGTACCTGCTGGAGCTGAACAACATCATAGAGAGCCAGCAGCAGCTGCTGGAGACCCAGCGGCGGCGCATCGAAGAGCTGGAGGGCCAGCTGGACCAGCTCACCCAGGAGAACCGCGACCTGAGAGAGGAGAGCCAGCTGCACCGCGGGGAGCTGCACCGGGACCCCCACGGCGCGCGGGATAGCCCGAGCCGCGAGAGCCAGTACCAGAACCTGCGCGAGACCCAGTTCCACCACCGCGAGCTGCGGGAGAGCCAGTTCCACCAGGCGGCCCGGGACGTGGGCTACGCGAACCGGGACGGCGCCTATCAGAACCGGGAGGCTGTGTATCGGGACAAGGAGCGGGACGCCTCCTACCCACTCCAGGACACTGCTGGTTACTCTGCCCGCGAGCGCGACGTGGCCCAGTGCCACCTGCACCACGAGAACCCAGCCCTGGGTCGCGAGCGTGGCGGGCGGGAGGCCGGGCCAGCGCACCCGGGCCGCGAGAAGGAATCCGGCTATTCGGCGGCGGTGGGCGTGGGGCCCCGTCCATCACGAGAGCGGGGCCAGCTGAGCCGTGGCGCATCCAGGAGCTCCAGCCCCGGGGCCGGCGGCGGCCACAGTACCAGTACCAGCACCAGCCCGGCCACAACCCTCCAGAGAAAGTAAGGAACGCGTGTTTGTCTTCCCTGGCTCTTCCCCGCTAGTTCCCTCTCCAACTTGTACGGCTGGTAAAGTAAGAAGCCGGTGCCTGATTCCATGTCCTTCTCTCCAGTCCCAACCTGCCGGGAGAAGCCGGGTCCCCCTCGTGCAGCCGACACCCCTTCTCTAGCTACCCCAGAGTGGGTTGGCCCGATGAGTGCAGGCGTCTCTTCTTTCTCAAAACCGTGGCCAGTGAGGGCCTGGAGCAGTCATCACCCCCTCCACTTCTTCACCCCCTCGCTATATCCTTGCCAGAGGATGGCTTTTCATTTATTTATTTTATTTGGATGTGCCGGTTGGGATTTTTATTGTCTCCGACGGTGTCAGATCAGAGCCCCAAGGGAAAGAAAGGCCCCCCCCACCTCGGGTCTCCTCTGCGGGTCCTGAGCACAGGCCTGATCTGATCTCCTCTGGCGGCCTCAGCTCCATCCTTTCGCAGAGAGGCAGGTGGGGACCAGAATGGCTGCTGGAGGCTCTTATCCCTCTGAGGGGAACTGCAGCACATCCTGGTCGGGGGAGCAAAGATGGAGGGCCGGCCCTTGGCTAGTTCCTCAAAGACCACCCCCTCTCCACCCTCAAGGAAAAACCACCCAATTAAAGAGCATACCAGCAAGGGAAGTCTACAGATCTTCCCTCTTGTTGGATCAGTGCCAGTTTCTGTGCTGGGGTCTGTGTGTCTGCCTATTTGGGACACCTTGGCAACATCTATTGGGTTGGTGGGGCATGGGCTGGGTCCACTTCTTCCATGCAGATACCACGGTGAGCTGGTTGGGATAAATGTCAGGCCAAGAGAGTCAAGGGCGTGCAGGCTCACAGGGCTGCCCTAAAGGCTCCCTGATTTCTCTTCTGCTGGATTGGAAAGAATACTGACCTGGGAGTTAGGAAACCCAGGTTCCCCTTCCAGCTCTGCTGCAGATTGGCTTTGTGACCTTGACTGAGTCCCTTCCTCTCTCAGGCCATCAGTTCTCCCATATCTTTTTAAAAGGCAAGGTCTGCCTTGAATGCTTTTTAAGGGCCCCTCCAGCTTAGATTTGATGGTTCTATGACTAATCCAGCCACCACTACAGAGCAAGTCTGAAGTCCTCTAGCGAATGGACAGCTTTCCCCCTCCTCTCACTGCTCAGCTGGTCCTACCATGTGCCACAACCAGTGGAGTGTCTCTTGGAGGCTGGGCTGGGGGTGGGGAAGCCTTCTGCCTCAGGAAATCTGCCGGGAGACAGCTCTCTGCAACTCCCCCGTGGTGAGGCAGCAGGCTGGGGTGCTGGGTTGAGATGGCTGGGCCCCAGGAGCAGCAGCTGCAGCTCAAGGGCTCGGCTGGGCTTCACTGCAGTGCACCCTCAGTTGAGGTTTGGTGTGGGCTGCCCCAGAGGGAGATGGACTCTTCTGCCCAGCCAGGGCTGCTGGGAGCCCATTCCAGGAGGACTGACTGTGTGCAGCTTGGGGCCCCACACTGGAGGGAGGGGCCAGGTCGACTGACCAAGCAAGGCCTTTTCAGGAGAGGGCCATGATGGGGTGGGGACAGAGGGAGACTGTATGGGCATTGTGGTCCTTTAGCCTGGCTGCCGAAGACTTTTCCAGAGTGGTCAAACCTGTGACAGAGGAAGCAGCCTCATTATGTGTGGCTCCAGGGAGCAGAACCAGGAGCAATGGGAAATTTTGGGATAAATCAGGAAGAACTTTCCAACCTGGCTGTCTGGTGATGCAGTGGACTGCCTCAAGGGGGTCGGGGAGGGCTGGAGAAAGCATAATTCCTGAACTGGTGGAAAGCCCAATGAAATGACCTGGGTCTTCCCAAATTCTAGGATTCCATTCTTCTCAGATTCTCCATCCTGCAGATGTGGGTCTGAATCTCTTGGCTGGCTGGAAGCCTGTTTGCTCTTGAGCTCTGTGCTTCTGCCATCTGGGCAGGCCTGCCTTTCGGTCTTTCCCTCTTTTTGTGCACCCTCCAGGCTGTTTGTTGGATTCCCTTGCTTCACATTTCCTACTGGATTAATACAGGAATTTAGACGGTACTTTGATTGTACACCCATTATTACCTCTTTTGGTCCTCACAACAGGGCCTGTGCAGTGAGCACTAGCAATTCCATTTTAGAGATGGGGAAACTGAGGCTCCAAAAAAATGAAGGGAACATGCTCAAGATTACACTGCCAGTTCCTAATAGATCTGGGGCTAGAACCCAAGTCCACCTGTCTCCGAGGCCTGTTATTTTTCCACTGGGGCTTTCCAGCCTGAAGGAGTCTCTTGGCCTCAGGACCTGGCCAGGTCACCAACTGGGAGAGGCCAGGAGAGCCTGAGGTATTTGGAGGATTTGAGCAAGGGGAGATTGCTCTGGGATGAGTGATGAGAAGGGGAGTCGATGGGGGAAGGCAGAAGGCCTTGTCTCCCTTCTTTCTGCTCTCCCTCCCTCTCTCTCGACCAGGCGTCAGGAGGGCGTATTGATGCACTAGCCATTGTTGTCGCCACAGCTGCTGCAAGCTACTCCCCTGCCAGGCATGTTCTGGGTTTGTAAGGAGTGGGTGAGAGGCTGCCGCTGGAAGCCAGGGCAGGCAGGGTGGGTGTTGAGCAGCAGAGGCTGCAGCATTGGGGGAGGCTAGGTAGAGCTGGTACATGCTGGGCGCTCCTGGTCCCCAGGCTCCCTCTGGTGGAGGAAGAGGGGACAGAGGGGCCTGGGCCCAGCTGCTGCTTGTTGAAGGGCCCCTCTGCCCAGCGACGCTGTCCGTCTGTCACCACAACCCACGTTTTACAGCTGAAGAAACCGAGGGCTCAGAGAAGTGAAGTAACACACCAGAGGTCACACTATCTGTGAGACAGACTCCCGAGCCTGTGAACTTGCCCTCTACCGCAGTTGATAGCAGCTGTCACGTCCACCCCCACCTATGTCATCCCCCCAGGATTCCCACATCCTCCCGCACTGTCTCTTCTGGACAGGTTCCCGGATGCCAGTCTGCCTTCTGCTGTGCTCTGGGTGTGGCCTTTCTAGTGCAGCATAGCGCACGATGAGGCCCGACCTCCTTCTGGCCACTGGGCCTCTGTACATGAGGTCTTTGCTTGCTTGTTTGTTTTTTTAGCAGCTGCTGGTCTGCAATGCTTAGGTCTTTTACCCTGGAATTGTCACCCCCACTCCCCATGGTTAGAGAAGAGCTCTGTTTTCGTTGTTGATCTTGGCCTGGCCCCCCCCTTTCCGTTCTGGCACCTGGAATGATTTACAGGCGTGCTGGGGGCCACTGCTGAGTTCTCCACGCTGAAGAGAGCTGCATTTCCCTTGATTTTTGCCTGGGCCCAGCTCCGGCTCTGCCGTAGGCGGTGGTGGGCTGAAGCTGGTTTGGTGGTAACTCTTCATCCTCTGCACGCCCCCCCCCCCCCGCCAGCAGGCTGGCTTGCGTTGGGGGACAGCAACCAGCAGGACTGGCCTGGTGTTCTCAGCAGCCAGGACAATGCGTGGTCTAGGCTCTAGGCACAGTTGCCGGGTTGTCTTGTGTGTGCGCTGGAGTGTCAGTGCGCTCCCCACAGGGGCTGAGGGCACTGGGAGGGAGGGAGGGAGCCCAGGGAGGGGCCCTGGGGAAGTCTGTCTCCTTTGGGGTATTGGGCACTTTTCCTGGGCGGGGGGTGGGGGTCTTTCCTTCTTCCCAGGAGGGAATACCATTGCCCTCTCTCCCCCCACTGTGTTGGGAGCATTATACTCACGTGGGAGGCAATGATAATGTCGAATTGAATGAGAATTAGAGGAATCTTGCTTCTCAGTCTAGATCTGGGGCGAGAATGGGGCTGTTGTCATCCACAAACATTTCTTGGCTGTGTGCACAGAGCAGGAGGGGCCCCCAGGCTGAGCAAACACCAGACTCTCTGCGCTTGAGAACCCTCCCACCCCCTTCCCTGACCAAAGACACAGGGGACCAAGCCTGACCCACTGTAGTGCCGGTGCTTAGGACAAAATGAGTAGGAAGGGCAGTGAGGAGTGGAGGCCAGGCCACTGGTCTAAGACCTGGGCAGGGGACTTTGAAGAGAGTGGGTGGAGGATGGAGGGGGAGGTGGGAGGAAGACCGGACCCAGGCTTGCCCTCTGCTACTCTTTCATCTATCTCACCTCTGCCTCTGGTGGCCTCTGAATTTGCTGGGAGCACAGGGGAGGCCTGGGGCATGGAGAAGGGGCCGCACATGTGCTGAGTGAGCCTCAGCCTTCTACGTGCCAGGCACCACCCTATGTGGCTTTATGTAACAATAGCTAACGTCTTTTTTTAACCTGCATTTACTGTGTGCCAAGCACTATTTGTTCTAAGTGCCTTCTGTGTATTAATTCATTCAATCGCCATATGAAACCTTTGATGTAGATACTGTTATTAAGTCCATTTCACAGATGAGGAAACCGAGGCCCAGAAAGGTTGGGTAACTTCCCCAAGGTCACTCAGTGAATAAGTAGCAGAACTGAGAAGGAGTTAGAAGGAGCCCAGGTGGCCAGGCTCCAGAGTCCATCCACAACGTTCTCACCCACCATTCCATGTTGCTTCTTATCTCATTTGCACAGAGTCCATACCAGGTGGATATTGGTATTATCCTCTTTTTTCAGACAGGGAAACGAGAGGTCAGAGAGGTGCGATGACCTGCCCAAGGTTACACAACTGCATGAGGCCCAGAACTATCTGGCTCCTGAGCCTTTGGTCCACCAATGCCTCCTGCAGGCGGGTGTGAAGACGGTAAAGATGCTCTGGATGTGGCTCTGGGCTTCCCCCAGCAGAGCTCCTGGGACCACTGCTTGAGTCAAGCTCCCTCTCCTGATAGCCTCTTGGATTTTGACCACAGTCTCCTAATCGATGCCCTCCTGCTCTTGTTCCCTCGGGCCCCTGATGAGGTACAGACAGACCAAGCTTTCTGTGGGGCTCCAGCAGTTTCCTGCTGTCTCTGCCTGCAGGAGAAGGTTCAGACTGCTTTGCCTGCCATGCATGGACCCTTTAGGATCTCACCTTTC